GATTGCGTACGTCTCCTCAAGGGAAACGATTGATATTTCTAAAACTCCCACCAGGTAATTGCATGAAGTCAGCGTCTTTGAGCAGCTGTTCCCCTGTTTCAAATAGGGACGGGCTGGAGCCAGAAGCCTGGCAAGACTTTTCCAACGTCTGTCGCCTTGACTTCTGCCCCACGTCGTCTCGGCTCTGGACACTTGTGCTGCAGGTTTATTCCCGTGTTAGGGTCCCTGTCGGGGTCCTGACACCTGCTTGGACAGTGCCTAGCATAAGCAGGGTTGTCCCCTCTCCCATGAGTGCTGGCATGAAGGATGTGTGTCCATACTTCACAATATACCATGAGATGTTGTCCCCTTAAATGTGTGGGATAATCTTGTTAGGCTGCTGTCAACATACAAAGCATATTTTATGGCTCAATTGTTTTTTTCTGGTAGATTTTCAGGTGACTAAACCTGAACGAAGTTCAGAACTTGAATCTTTCATTTAGTTTTCTGTATGTAGGTCATAGCTTAGGTTTTGCTCATCCATTTCTCATGCAATCATTTGTAAGGGTTCAGCTCCTGTTCCCGTCAACACACCTGGAAGTCGGATGAGATCGGGAGACTCGCTCTGAAGGTGTGAGCGGACGCAGAACTGGCGCCCTGGCCTCTACCGGAGCTGTTAATGCGGGCGGTTGGCAGGATCAGGTTCAATTTTGATTGAAAGGAAGCCCCTGCTCTGTTTAATTAGTTGTACCTTTTTGTTCCCTCCTGTGCCAACACGGTGTTTGGACCATTTAATTTTCAACATGGCTTGGGGAGCTATATTGCTTTAGGTTAAAGAAATGAAAACCCGATTGTCTGTTCAGCAGACCTGAACCCATAGTAGAGCACCAAGGGAGTGAGCGTGTGTCGAGTCCTTTGTGGGGACACAAATAAGCTCTTCTATCGTGCTTACATCGTCTCCTTGTACTTCAGTAAACTCTTATATTGTGCTTACTTTTGGGGAACCCCACTCTTGACATGCATGAAGTTAAAGGAGCAAGCCACTGAACTGCTTTCTTTCATGACAATGCTCCTTATCTCCCTGGTTGTATCGACACAGCGAGTAGTTCTCCAAAGAGATGGAAGGAGTTTGCTTTTAAACTAATTTTCCTGTCATTTCAACGTGTCAGCACTGGGTTTATAACAGCTTTGTGTGCATCTGTCGTCCCCTCTCTCCTTTCCCCTGAACTAGGTGATGGTATCTTTCTCTCATATATCACCTTCACTCTGAGCAACAGTGACTGATATCAAATAGGAGCATCCAGTAAAATGACATTGTCAACATCATTTAGCTTTATACCCTAAATCAAGATGCCTTCATTAAACAGCTTGGATTTTGCTCTCCATTGCTGTTCTTTTTTCTTGATTGCTGGATACTACAGATAAACATTAAAAAAAATCCCACCAAGCTTTTCATTTTTATCAAGGCAATGAAATGGAAGCTATTTAGCTGGATTTATTGATCATCTTAAGGAAAATGTTTGCTCTGTGTGAAATATCCTATTAGGCAGGGTGTTTATGTAAATGTGATGGTGTATATTGAGGAAAGGGGAGCAAGGTTCAACATTGAGCAATAAATAATTTAAATGACATTTTTAGACGTAATTTGTTTTACTTATTTCCTGTTCTGGGTT